TTATTTGTTACCTTCTCTGCAGATCTTAAGCACAATACTAGAAGTCATGCAGGAATTCCAGGATATGGTCCAAAACCCTGATAATCATGACAAAGGTACCTGCACAAGTTCCAAAAAAAACAACAGTTTGTTAGGTAGTGTTTCTGAGAATCAAAGCTTTAGGGCGCCTTTGTTTTCTACAGTTTCCCTGTGCAGGGACATTATCCCCAGTCTGCTCGGCATGACTCGAGCCTTCGGTCGCTACAGCCAATCAGAAGAAGCCCTGCTGTCCAAATTGTTCCGCAAAGATTCGCCTCAGATCCACTGCCCCACGGAGGAAAATGAAAGCATGCGACGCAGATCCTTCAACGACTTTCGTTCTATTATGCCGTCTGCACTGCTGTCAGTGGTTCAGGGCAACAATGGGTGCAGTCGCTCATCGTCCAGCTTGGATACCTCTGTACAGGTTGGTGTGCGTTGTGATAGAAAGTTGGTGATATTCATGAAAAACTTTGTTTTCAAAAAGTGTAACTATTTGCATAGCTTTAACATTCTTGTATCTTGTGTGACTTGATTACCGTTAAAGGTCGAATTGATTAATTAATAAATTACTTACATTTTTCTGATTTCTGATTTTAATTTGCTTTGTGATAGACTCCCACAGACCGAGGAAGACAGTCACCTTGCTCTCCCACGATTCATAGCTTACATAACTTTGAAGGTAAAAGTTAAGAATCTCAATTCGTCTTGAACACTTTTCTTCTGCAAAATTATTCATACCTTTTAAATTAGGGCTGGGCAATACGACTGAAAAATATATCACAATGTGAGCATTTCATATCAGTCGATATCGATAAATTTTGATTAGTTTTTTATTTTAAAGAACCTGTTAAATTTGTGTTTAGGTTCAACTGTATTTTATTACACATTTATCAGACAGACTCACACAATGTATTGTTTAATTGGGATGTGAAAGAAAGATGTTTATTTTTTTTCCCCAAATAAAAATATGAAAAGCGCCAGTAGTTTGTATAAAGTCCACCCGAGTTAATGTTTTATAGACCTACATTTTACTGTAACCTCAGCTGCAAGGGATATGTGTGTGTCAGCTTTACATGTGTAGAGACTGACATTTCCTGAGCTGTTTTTGTGACATAGTCCGACATCAGTCATCTTTGAAAATAAGCATCTAAACCATCTATTGTTTCATTAGCTGTGTCTTTGTTGTGTTGGAGGGTTGCTCAGCCTGTCAGCTCAGTCAGTTTAGGTTTGTCCGTTTACGTTGTAGTTGTGTTCTAGTTTTTCTGCTTTAAGATGAATGATTGAACAGTGCTGTGAGATCTACAAAGTTTATCCCTGACTTGTATGGCGTGTTTATTGGTCTTCTTGTTTAAATATTGCCCTCTAACAAACTTCAGAGGCCGTTAAAGAGCAGCTGGATTTATGCTGAGTCAGTCGTATATCAAACTCGACTTTTGGAAGTATTTGATTGAGCTTATTTTCTTTTCTCAAGAAAGTTAGAGAAATGGGGGCTGTGTGTGTATATATATATATATATATATATATATATATATATATATATATATATATATATATATATATATATATATATATATATATATATATACACATTTTACTGTAGGTCTATATATATAGACCTACAGTCTATATGTGTATATATATATATATATCTATATATATATATAGATATATATATCTATATATATATATCTATATATATATATAGATATATATATATATTTATATATATATCTATATATATATAGATATATAGATATATAGATATATATCTGACCTATAATAATAATTATGGTCATCTTCTACTTCTCCAGACTGAAGTGAATTAGGATGAATCTGACCGAACTTAAAACTTATGCTCTACTTTGTGTTAGTCTATCATATAAAATACTAATAAAATCCCCCTTTTGATTTTATTCTGTTATGATATTTGGAAAAGTTTAAGGGGTATAAATATTTTTGCAATGCACTTTGTTTATGAGCTGTGGGGTTTATGTAAATACTTATAATGTTTACTCAGAGAAAACTGTGGTTTGACAGAACTGCCTTTAATAAATGCATTTAAATTTGTAATTGCTGTTTATTATTTTTTATTATTTATTTAATGTTTACTTTATTGTTTCCACAAATCTTTTTATGTTTCTGATGGGTTTTTTCCCCCACAGTTGCTGTCTCAGAAAGCAGCTCAGTTGAGCCTGACTACTATTTCACTACAGTCAGCTCCAGTTTCTCAATGTCTCCTCTTTTCATGGGTGCCAGTGAAAATCAGGTGGTGGTTCCTCTTGATCTTCTCCAAAAGCTCCTCAGAATGGTGCAGTAGCTTTTTATATTTTTTACATTTGCGTCTGCTGATTTCCATTCTGCAAATTTGCGAAAATCTTGTTGATTTACAGGTGAAAAACTTTGTTTCCGACTCTTTATTGAAGACTCTGGACACCACTATGATCGAAGTGACAGAGGTGATTAGATAAAAGCAATTTGTGTAGAATATTAGCAAAGTGCAAATATAAATATCACTTTCAATCATTGGAATAATTCATTCATTGCTTTCTTCCTTTTTCACTCTTAAAGTGTCATGTTGGGATCAACCTCTATTACAAAACCTGCAGTGACCCCCTGTATGTCTGTGTGTTCAAAATGCTGCGAGACACGCTGTACAACTTGAAAGGTAACACGTTGTTCTTTTTATGTACAAAAGCTATTTCGTGGTACATTTACTACTGTATCAAGCTGCCATATTGTATTTCCAGCCTTAGATCCTTCATTTGTGCGAGAAGTACACGACTTTGTCCTGGAGCAGTTTAGCAGCAGCCAGTCGGAGCTGCAGCGGGTACTTCACGATATGCCGGGGTTGCCCTTGGAACAGAGCCCCCTCAAGCTTCGATGCCAAGCCAATGCTGCCTGTGTGGATCTCATGGTGTGGGCCATCAGAGATGAGCAAGGTAATCCGTCGGCGCAGAACTCCACTATCAGAGAGGAGCTGGATAGATTTATTTCTTCTAGATGTGTCACTTGGGCTGTTTTTTTTCTCTTTCCAGGAGCTGAGAATTTGTGCAGCAAGCTGTCAGAAAAGCTTCAGTCAAAAACTTCTAGCAAAGTTGTTATTGCTCACATGCCTCTGCTCATTTGTTGCTTGCAGGTTTGTATATAGACAGAATACATACATAGTAAGAGGAATATGGTACACAAACTACTGGTCATTGGATGAGAGCTCGTTATTTACATTGCTTTGGTTTGTTTTCCAGGGTCTTGGACGCCTTTGTGAGAGGTTTCCTGTTGTTGCCCACTCTGCATCGACTTGTCTGAGGGATTTTCTTGTCATTCCTTCCCCGGTTCTTATTAAGCTCTACAAATATCACAGCCAGCACAGCACAGGTATACGCCGTACACACAGACTGTTTCAGATGCACCCAGCAGCTTCTTCCTGACCTCAGACTTTTGAGGATTAATGTTTTGTTAACTTTAAATTTACAGAACCCTTAATAATTATTGGCAGTTCTGGTGTAAGACGCCTTCATATAAAAGTCGCGTTAAGTTGTATATACAAAAGTATTATTCTGAAAGTGTTTGAAATACTGTATATAATTCTTAGTTAATGTACATTTATGCATTTGGGTAAAAAATACTACAGCAAATAAAACTCCTAAATGTAATGACTTTTGTTATGTGTTGATTTGGCCCTCTGTTTAGGATCAATGTCTTGGAAAAAGAATCAAAATACAACACATTTAAAGTTTTCTGTCACTGTCCACCAGTCTTTTTGTTTAAAATGTCCTGGTATTTCAAAGACTTCATAATGTCATGTCTTTTTAACAGGATTCCTAAAATCTTTAGGGGAGAAAGAGATCCTCCTCTGTTATTCTTTACAACATTATTTTGTGTTTTACTCAGAGCCCACCTTGAGTGTTGCTCCTGACAAGCCAAAAATCTTAATATTATTTGACCATTGTCCCAATCAAAACCTACTAGTGTTAAGCTAACATTATGTTTGTAATTGGAATGGAAGGACAGATTAGGATGTTTTCTGGCATGCCTTCCAGACACAGTTTTGGTTTGTAGATCATAATATAGTTGTGGTGGAAAAACAAACTCGGGTTCTCCTTCAGTCTTGCTCGTCTACTTCTAGTGGTTATAAACTTTTAATTATTACTCTGACGTTCGCTGGGGGCAAGTTTAGGCAAGTAACGGTTTAATTTCTGCCATTTTCTGATTTAATAAGATTAAAACCTACCCGCCTTCCCTGAATGCGATTGGTTTTCTGGTGTTTTCTCTTCTGAAGAGTGGCTAGGTGAAATGTGCCTTGGTGTTGCATCATATCCATATCTATAAACAGGAAGTAATGGATTACTAATTTATTGTTCCTAGGCTCAGTGATAAACTGTGAAGAATAAAGATTAAAAATTCCTTCCATAATATTTATTTAGTGAGATTTTTTTGTGATGCCAATATTTTTGGTGAAAATGTAAAAGTTGGATCCTACATTTTTTGTGTTAGATTATGCTACTACAATACAATATGGGACTTAAGACAGGAGGGTCCTGTATAATATTTCTGTGCTTAGCATAAAACAACACACTAAAAGCTTTAAAGGTCCAGTTTATAGAATACAAAAGTAATCTTGACTGAAAGCGAAGAGGACAAATTAGTCTGACAGCATTAGTCTGACTGATGCTGACATACAGACAGCATCAGTCACAGTGTTATGGTCATCCACCATTGTTACAGATTCAGTGCAGTTCAGGTTAGAGATTTTTTTTTGCCTGTACTGTCTGCACTGCTTGGTTTCTGATAGTTTACTATATTTAACACCCATTGTTTTCTTTAGGCACAGGAGAAATTAGAATAAATGTGACGAATGAGTATAGTCAGTCAACCTTCAACATGTTCACAAATAAAAGAGACCAGCCCACCATGTACGAGCAGCTGAGAGACATTTCCATCGACAACATCTGCAGGTAAAATGAAAACACACCAGGCACATCTGAGAGTTGAACTTCTGAGGTTTATTGTCAGTGTTCACTCTGTTCTTCTCCCTCAGATGTCTGCAAGCCGGTTTGAAAATGGACAACGTGATCGTAGAGGCCTTTCTAGCAAGTCTCTCCAACCGTCTGTACATTTCACAAGAGAAGGATAAGTGAGTTGCATTTCTAGCAGAAAGTTTAGGAAATCTGGTTTAGTCACCCAGAATACATTCAAATAAAGGTGACTCAGAGGAATGGTTTTAAAAATATAACTTCTACCTCTCTCAGGGATGCTCATCTAATTCCAGAGCACACCATCAAAGCGCTGGGCCATATTGCAGTCGCTCTCAGAGACACTCCTAAAGTCATGGAGCACATCCTACAAATTCTTCAACAAAAGTTCTGCCAGCCTCCGTCCCAGCTGGACGTGCTCATCATAGACCAACTGGGCTGCATGGTCATCACAGGGAATGTGAGTCCAAAGTGATTGCACAACTCTGCACCAGATTTAATCTATTATTAGAGGGAATATAAAAGTTTAGATTGATTCATGTGAAAGTGCATTTGGTGGCAGAAGAGGAAGATTATATATTGTCATAAGGCGAACTTGAGTATTGCTATTCCTGTGCATCTGGTGGGTGTTGTCTAATCACTCACCCTTTATGTGACACATCAGTTGGTTTTTAATAGGGTATCTTGTGACAACCAGCCAGTGTTGATTGTGATGAACTACATTTAGGAGTTTAAAATAGATCTGCAGTTCACTGATTAGCACGTTATCTCTCGTCTTCTTTTCTTCTAGCCGTACATCTACCAGGAGGTGTGGAATCTGTTTCAGCAGATCAGCGTGAAAGCCAGTTCTGTGGTTTACTCAGCCACCAAAGACCACAGAGATCATGGTTACAGGTCAGGATGCATCATAGAAATATATTTTTATGATGTTTCTAATATTTTAGTATCAGATTTTATTCACCAATGTGTTTGATACTAAAAATTTCTCAGTCACCTATAACAGACCCATTTCAGTGTAAAGTACTCCAAATGAAATTTCCACAAAAATGTCAAGGATTATATTTCAAGGCTTTACCATCATCCAAGGTTTTTAGTCTCTCACAGGAGAACTGTTTGTCCTTCTCTTTATATGAAATACTTTAATTTTACACCACCTACTTGTCCTCTCAATGCAGAGGTCTTTCAGTTCAGGTATTGTGTAAGAAAATGTATTTATTAAAAAAAAAATGAAAATCAGATTAAGTTGTATTGTGATTTTAATGAGGGAAAAGCTTTTTTTCTGTAAATTCTCAAGTTGGAGGTTTATCATTTGCCCTTAAACTTCTCCTTTGGCCTCTCAAGAAACTTGAAAGTATAACTTCATTATATTTTTAACTAAGGGGCAGTTTGTAATTTTAGCCCTAAATAATTTATGTTTATGTAGACTTTAGCATGTTCTCAGGCATTTTTTCATCTATCCACCCTTTTTCCCTTCAAGGCATTGCTCTCTAGCTGTGATCAATGCTTTAGCAAACATCGCAGCCAACCTGCAGGGGGAGCAACTGGTGGATGAGCTGCTGGTGAACCTTTTAGAGCTTTTTGTCCAGCTGGGACTGGAAGGAAAAAGAGCAAGTGAAAGGGCCTCTGACAAGGGAACAGCACTGAAGGTGTGTTCAGCATCCAAACACAAAAGGAAAATACACATTGCTTTTTTATGTTAGTTATTTTTTCTCTCCATAGGCATCTAGTAGTGCTGGAAACCTTGGAGTTCTTATTCCAGTCATAGCTGTGGTAAGTAAGTGCTCTGAGATGGTTGGTATTCAAATTCTCTTAACTTAATTCCCAAAGTAAAAATGTTTTACTTTTATTTTGGGAAAATCAAAAACAATAAATGACAAATTAAATCTCATGACTGCAAATGTTTTAAAGTCATGGTGTCAAAAAACAGTTAAGATTTATGACTAAATGGGTATTTTTAAGCTTTATGAATTTCTAAAAAGGAAAAAATTAAAAAAACAATCATGTAGAAGATAATTTCTTAAGTAAGACTGAGGCAAACATATTTTGAGCAGAGTAGCCTCTGCCCATGTAATAAAAACATTGATATTTTGGGAATTATGTACACAAATTGTTGAGACTGGATGCAATATTAAAGTTCTGTAAGGACTTTGTGACACTAAAATTCAATCTGATGCGTTCTTTGTGTTTTTGTATTAAAAACTGATCGACTAAATATGTTTATATCTTAGTTCAAAGTAACTTATTAAACCAAATTTAGACAGTTTTCTTCTTTTAAGAAGAATTTTAACAAAAACAAATTTTTTTCACTTTTCTGATTTGGTTTCATGTATTTTATTATCTCACCATCTGTGGTGTTTTGACATTTTGTTTGAAATCACCATGGTACAGCATTAGAGTATCTACAGTGACGTAATAATGTCTGCACTTCTCCACCCGCCCTGTAAATTATAAAACATTAACAGACAGATAACAAGCGTTCAGTGAGCCAATCAAACAAACTTCGTACTTTGAGCAATTTGAAGAAGTTTGAGTGTTCATTCTGAGTCTAAATTGTTTTAAAAAAAGAAAAGAGACTCCTGAGAAGTTGTTTCAAATTGTTTAGATGATCAGTTCTGTGAGGGGTTTACCACCCGGCCAATGAACACGAGGCAGTCTGTGCGGTGCTCGTAGATCAGGAACAGGAACGGATGATCCACTGTGAAGCGAATCTGAGAGGAGAGCGGCATGAACCCCACTTGAGTCAGGGCAGCAGCTTCTGTTCCCTCCTCGTTCACGGTGATTGTTCCCTGGTGCTTCAGCTGCAATAACACCTTTAGATATTTCAGAATATAAAAAGATGGTGAAGACTGTGATGTTGGCATTGCTCTGTTTTTCTCACCCAGTTCAAGGCAACTTTTTCTGAAGTCATTCCGCTGAAATCTCCACTCTCCTTGAAAATGTCAGTGAGCCCCATCTCCTTCAGATTTTCAATCAGGTCATAGTTTTGCTCCAGTTTGAAGCGAGGTAACGAGACCTCACGAGTCCTAGCAGAGACAAAGGATGCTGTCATCACAATTAAGCACAACTAAATCTGCACTATTTCCACTGAAAGGTTTATTACTCAGCAAGAGTAAATATTGTGTTATCTTGCTGATATTTACCCCGTTGCTGAAAATATAAACAGTTTTACTAGTCTAATAATTTATCTCCTTGTTTATTGCATGTCTTTGCTGCACATGCTGATAACGGCTTATTTACTGCGACAGGGCATTTCTATTGAACGTTCATACTGTTAAAGAAGTTTTTACAGGTGCTAAATTTAAATGTTCTCTTGCATTTCCAGTAAGTCCCTATTGCAGTGATTACTCAGCACCACAACTATTTCTTTCTGTCCGTTTGTGTAATAGTAAATGCAATGATGAACTGCTTTGTAAACGGCAAATACGGTCACTTTAAATATTTGCTTGTGAGCGACCTGTTTGTCATGTTCTTGAGCCACTTGTTGACAACAGTTGGTGAAATCTGCTGCTCCAGTGTCCTCATGCCAGTGATCTTCCTTGGCAAAGCAATGAGCATGCTGATGTTTCCTGTGTATGGAAGCTGAAGATAAGAAGGTTTATATGCCGGTTAGTTTATTATGGATTATTTTGTGTGCTTGTCTAACATTCTTGTTGAATATAAAGATTAGAGCTGCGCAAAATATTCAATCTCCATTGTCGTTGTCTTTATTCAGGGCAGAGACCTTATGAAGTCCTGAAAATTCTGAAGTTTGTTTTTAATATTTCTTGGGTCGGGCTGAGTTTGGAAAATACTTTGCTTCTCCAGACTTTTTTTTTTTTGTTGAATTTCTTCCATTTTTGCTAACGACAAAAATCTAATAATGCTTGAGAAGTAGAGTTGTTACTTCATTTTTGATTCACCACATTTTTCACACCTCAATTTTAGCATTTTGCTTATCAAGATTTAGTTTTTTGACTCACTGAGTGAAAACATATGTAATATTGCAAAGAATTTCCTGGATGCAATAGTTGGTAGACTACAACTGTTCAGACTTCCTGCATTCATACTCAGTGACTCGATTTATGAGCTCAGTCAGATGAAATCCCATTGTCCTTCACACCAACACCTGATCTAGATTTTGGCCAAAAGGCTAAAGCTCATGGAAAATGGTGGGATCATCATAACATAACCTTATGATAATGCAGAGGAAAGAGTGGTGAGAAAAATATGGGTAAATTTGGTCCTTGGAATACTCAACTAATTATCCCAATTATCCTGATATTGTTCAGCTCTAATCTGTATAAAGCCACCCACCTGCAGAATGTCACACTCCAGCTCATGGTCGGCAGCAGCCAGGTAATTCCCCTTGTTCATCATCATTGGCACGCGTACGTTTGTTTTGTCATTAACTCTAAAGTTTCGGTAGTAAGTCATTTCTTTCGGGAATTTCTGCTCCCACGTCCCTGTTTGTACAAGAACCAAAAACCGTCATTGATATTTATGCTTTGTCATAACTTCATTGTAAAATTGTACTTCTCTCACCTTTGAAGTACAGGTAGTTAAGTAGCATCAGCACCATATTTGGATCCACACTCTTCAGCGGTTCCTTGATCAACCCTTTGGTTAGTTTTTCAATGCGGTGGTTGGCCTTGTTCAGGAATGCTGGCTCTCTGAAGTCTACTGACTGTGGCTCAGCAAAATAATAGGCCTTCGTTTCGGTGCGGAAGGTTTCTTTTACTGACACGTTTTTTTTAAGGTAGACGTCATTGACAGACCGGAGCGTGTAGCCAAAGTTCCTCCTGAAAAGCCTGTGTGTCAACTTCCTGAACAGCTTATGGACTGTTGTGTTGTCGTAGTGATGACTAGCATTGACAAACTCTGCGAATCCCAAGGCTTTGTAGATCTGATGGTGAGTTTCAGATCCAGCACCTAAAGACATCATCCCCATGGCAATGGAGATCCCAGCAGGTGCCAGCAGGATGTTGTCAGTCTGGTTGACGTCGTTACGGATACTTCTGTAGAGATTAAAGCCAAAACGGGCGTTCACCATGTTGAGGCGCTGAAGGCGAGAATGACCATGGAAGAGCCGTAGAAGTCTGGCTCGGCGAATCTTCGGGTCGGACGACTCGGCAAAGATGTCGATATCTGGGGCCGGTGTGGCTATCTCGTCGATCTCATCCCCCTCACTGAAAACAATTAAATTCATCTTGCATGTTTCAAAATAAATGAAACTGGTATTTATGTCCCAGAATATAATACTTTGAGATTGTATATACCCCATTATTAAAGTTATTTTCAATAAGTTATCCAACATAAACAAAACCTCTGAAACTCACATGTAATCATCACTTCCTGCGGCCAGGATCTTATCAAAGTCAATATAATCTTCATCCTCAAAGCCGTCAAAAACGAGGTCATTGGTGACGGTATTTTCTTTGTGGAAGTCCAAAGGAATGGCCTCGACATCCACTGGACTACCTGGCTCTAAGCCTCTAGGGTTTGGATTTGGGTCATTGAAGTGGGAACTGAGCTCTTTAATGCCGGCCAGGGACGGACTGGCCAGCATGCACACCACAGAAATGATGGCAAACACCAACATCCTGAAGGCGGAGCAAATAAAACGTTTAGAGCAAAATGTTTCAATAATTTGACAAATAGATTTTACTAAACAATAAGATTAAAAGCCAAGGATTTCTGTGTAAATTAACAGTCTGTAAAGTGTCTTACCTTTACTGTGACTGGTGGGAAGTTCTGTGCTGATTTTGTTTGTAGGACGAAGAATTCAAAACTGAACTTTGATATGTTCTTCTCTTGAACAAATAGACCAGATCAAACAGTCCAAAAAGTCCGCTGACTGACTAAAACCTTTAACTCTTCACAGTTCATCTCCTTTGTTAAAAAAATGTTTATTCTGATTAATTATTAATTAATTAATTTCCTTTGTGCTGACATGTCCTTTTAAAACGTTTTTTCTAATTTATAGGTTTTGTTGACTTGTTTCTTGCATGTAACAACTAATTTAGCTGTTTTCATTTGGAAGAGTTAAACTTATTTCTCTGGAGTAGTAATTATCCTACATTTGTCATCATTTTGTAATTATTTTTTTCAAACTTACAGTTGACCAGGCGACTTCCACCGATAAAGGAGGCCAAACCTCGTCTCCAGAAGCTTTTCAGGGACTTCTGGTTGTACTCTGTGGTCATGGGTTTTGCTTCGGAAGGATCAGGTGAGCAGGAGATTGACTCCTATTGCATTCATCATCTTTGCAAAACTTCAGCACTTCTGTAGGACCTAAAATAAAAAGAGTTGGCACTTACAATTTCATATTTTGGCTTGCTTTACTGGCCATAAGTTACGGAAACCATATGAAGAGTTAATTCTAGTGTCAGATATGAACAATAACAGGTCAAGGATCCTAAACAGAGCAGCTTATTTAGAAAAATATGGGCAAAAAAGACCAAAATTGACATATTACAAAGACACACTCAAATTGTAAGCCTCAGTTTGATTGAAAATATGTTTGGCTCTTTAATAAACCTGTGCAGAAAAAAAAAATAATCTGAAAGAATTGTGGGCCAAAAGTCTTCCATGATGACACGATAGACAAGAGATGGGACTTGAATTGGCTATAGGTAAAGGTGGTTGTCAAAACTACTGTGTCATGGATATATGCTTAGTCAATGTAGGTCTATTTAATTAGTTCACTGATTTATATACATATTTGATGTGCTGTGTTTTCAGGGCTTTGGCCAGAGGAATGGTACGAAGGCGTGTGTGAAATCGCCACAAAATCTCCTCTCCTTACCTTCCCAAGTGGAGAACCTCTTCGTTCTGAGCTGCAGTACAACTCAGCTCTGAAAAATGACACAGTGACGGCGGTACACTCTTAAATAGCTACACGCTTTGAATTTGATTAAATTGCAGCAGCAGCAGGTTGTTAGATTGTGAGTCTCTGTCTTCTAGGCCGAGCTGAGTGAACTGCGATCCACAATCATCAATCTGCTCGACCCTTCTCCTGAAGGCGCTGTCCTCATCAACAAGCTCGACTTTGCCATGTCCACCTACCTGCTATCTGTCTACCGATTAGAATACATGAGGTCAGCTCATTTGGCTTTACACCTGACATGTCTCTTCCATGATACATTCAAATTGGTATATGCAGTTAATTGATAGTTTTCTCGCTCTTTTACTGTCAGGATGTCCCAATCCAACGATGCTGACAGGTTCCAAGTGATGTTTCGGTACTTTGAGGACAAAGCCATCCAAAAAGATAAATCTGGTGAGGGCTTAAACCATTTTAGTTCACATATTATTTGTCGTTTATGATTAACTTCCTATACTCAATGTTTTTCCTATAGGAATGCTGCAGTGCATCATTTGTGTGGGTGATAAGGTTTTTGATTTCTTCCTCCAGATAATGGCTAAAAAGGTAGATGAGTGTAATCTCTGAACAAGCAAAAACGTAATTCTTCAGTTTGGGATTATGAGCATTTTTGATTTCTCTTGTTTTAGCCAAAAACTAAAGAACATGAAGAGGAGCTGGAGCAACATGCTCAGTTCTTATTGGTCAACTTTAACCACACTCACAAGAGAATCCGCAGGGTGGCGGACAAATACCTCTCCGGTCTGGCTGAAACGTGAGTTGACATAATTTATATATGCTCAGATTTTTTTATTGATGATTGTCTCAGCTAATTTTTGTGTCCCTTAAAAGCTTCCCTCATCTTCTGTGGAGTGGTAGAGTCCTAAAGACCATGTTGGATATTTTGCAGACACTCTCTCTGTCTTTAAGTGCTGTAAGTATGCACTAGGAGCCGATGGGGAAAGATATCCCTCAATGTGATGATTGTTGAAAGCTGTTGTTCTCAGTTGGGCAGTTTTTACCAGCACTACTTAGTATAAAGTCCAGACACAAAACAAGAACATTTTCCAAATTTAAGGTTTATGACTAAATTTGATACATACTTCAATTCATCATAATTTAGATATTAGATTTAAACAAAGATAAAGACTATAAGGCTATAGGTATGCTGTCAGGTGTAAAGGCAAATTTTTGTGCAGTTTGAACCTGAGGTTGTAGATTAGAATAGCAAAGTATGCCAGCAAAACCCCCCCAAAAACAGGCTGAAATTTGTTCACTGATTACTATTTTTCAATTAATAGTCAATAAGCATTTTAGTAACTTATGGAGGTACTAATCTTGAGGTTTAAGTAAAAACCAATAACAGTATTTATTTTACACACAGCAGGAGTTTTCATGCAGAAATCATTAAATAATAAAGAGCAGCTGTTAAAAAAATATGCAAGTATCCTGGATAATTATCAGGTAATATGCAGAATACTTGCATTTTGCTTTGCTTAATTATTATATAAACAAACTTGTCTGTTTCTGCTCTGTGGTGTGACCAGGTGAGCACTAACTTGCATTAGAGGGCATTATTTTCACTTACTGTGTTAAGAAGTATTTTTTGACTCCCGGCCCAAAAGTTGTAATGGTTTAAATGTTTGAAGTTATATAATAAATGACACATTTCCTTGTTCTTTATTTAGGACATTCACAAGGATCAACCTTACTATGACATTCCAGACACACCTTACAGGATTACTGTTCCGGACACACATGAAGCTCGAGAGGTGAGTCCGACTTGTAAAACCACATTTGGACACTAGAGGGCAGCGTAGTATTATTTTAGACCTATATATTGATTTTATGACAAAAAATAATGTGATAACTGGTACACATATTAGTTTTTGACAATATGAGACATTGTGCTGAAATAAGTTAAAGACTGAAGCTAATTTCTGTACCCATGTAGTGAAAATATTTGCACATATTCTTGATTGATAAGTTTTACATTTGCATTTCATTGCAGAGCATCGTTAAGGACTTTGCCGCACGCTGTGGTGAGATCTTAAAAGAAGCAATGAAATGGGCCCCTTCTGTCACCAAGTCCCACCTACAGGCAGGTTTCTTGTTTTATGGATGACTGACAGATTTCATAAAGCGATCAAGTCAAGGTTGACTTTACAAAAGTATTTAATGAGGTTAATGTTTTCTGGTAATTTTCATGCAGGAGTACCTGAACAAACATCATATGTGGGTGTCAGGACTCAGTCAGCACACAGGCCTCGCCATGGCCACAGAAAGTATCCTGCACTTTGCAGGCTACAACAGGCAGAGCACCACACTGGGGGTGAGTCACAGATACAAGATGATACATACTTCAATTCATCATAATTTAGATATTAGATTTAAACAAAGATAAAGACTATAAGGCTATAAAAATTGTGATGTACCCATTGAATGGCAAGCAATTACTAAACCCTTTTTGCCAGTTGTAAGCAAATACAGTTTACATCTTGGGAATGAATCACAATTTAATAATTTATTTGAAAACATATTTTCCCGGAGGGTAGTGATGGTACAACACAGAACTACAATGAAACAAACAAACAAAAAAGGGTTCACATTGATGTATTTTCTGTGTTTCATGTTGTCAAAATTATACAGCATGAATGGAGATTAACGCCGGTATCAGCCGATGTTATTCATTTTTAACATATCTGTTTTGGCGCGATAAGTAAAACTGGGGTGATATGAATGGACAGTGTTGATTTTTATGTTTTTGTTGCTTATGTGTGTGTCTTGGATGGGGTGGAGGGGTTGATCATGTCATATTTGTTTCAGCACATAACAGCAATACCTCGAAGGATTGAGGGGAGCAATGTCAGCCCTGTGGTCATGTATTTTCACAGCGTTGAAAGTGTACAGAATTATATAACACATGACTGTTATTGGTCATTATCAATATCTGTATTTAATACATATCGCAACCTTATATTGCCCTCAGTGGTTGGCTACTTAAACTTTTAGTTTAATTTCTTTTACAAGAGCACGTGTGCCATTTACAGCAGCCACTTGGCTTTTTTCCTGCCACTGTTGAAGTCTTGTTTTGTGCAAACATGTTATATTCAGTTTGAAATACATACAGTTGGGCTGTAAACAACTGATATCTGGTTATTTACGGCACTGTAATGTATGGTGTGTGCATGCTCTGTGTGACATTTTTTTGCTTGCTGAGCGTTTTTTATATGTTCCTGTGCTTGCGTTCTGCTCAATATGTCTTTTTATTTGCTTCATTTGTTGTGTTTTGTCTTTATTTAACTGCACCAAACTGCCTTGGCTGATTTACGGCTTACCTGGTTACTTACCTGCAATGGACGGTTGGGTTGAATGGCTGGTTACCCTTTTGGCTAACTGGTTAAACTGATGCCGTCTTCCATCGTGCTGCCAACACTAGGCTGCTTTCCCTCAGGTTGGTCTCAACACTAAATACAGAGAGACGAGGTTTAAGCATTGCACAATAATTTTATCTTAAACTGTTTCTGCACAGATGCATGTTTTACTCTACAGGCTTTTGACTGTTTGGTCTTAAGTTTTACAAAATGTGTTTTCTGTGTAGATCACTCAGCTGACAGAGAGACCAGGGTGTGTGAAGAAGGATTACTCCAACTTTATGGCATCACTAAACCTAAGAAACCGCTACACTGGAGAGGTAAAGATTAGCATTAAATTGGTTTCCTGCAGATTTTCTTCGAACTGCATGATTCATCAACCTGTTGGTGTTTTTTTTTTTCTTTAGGTGGCAGGTATGATCCAGTTTTCAAAGGCAACTGAAAGCAACTCTGACCTTACCGAGCTGATGATCAGTCAGATGACCAGCGCTCTAGAAAGAAAAGATCCTGAAGCCTTCACGCAATGCATGTTCAAGATGGCTGCTCTGCTTATAAACACCAAAAGTGAATACCAGCTCTC